TGGGATAGTGGGGGAAGAGGCGGAAGCTGGGGAGCTGTTTCCATGGCCTTAGTTTTCCACCTCACAGTGGTGCCCGGCTAAGGCAAATTTCAACACTCTGCTTGTCTCAGCTCATGGCTGAAAATATAGTCGCCTTCTGGATTAAAAATCTTAAGCTGGGCTGCGGCATAGTTCTGTAATACAGTGTAATATACACTGAGTTTTTTTTCTAGTGTCTTGTATCTGTAAAAACACTAGGGTACTGTTATCCCACCTCTGGACAACGAAGCCTGTCTATCTTGCCCCGTTCCGGAAGTCACGTCAGTGTCCCCACCCCCAACCCCCGCCCTGTGGGTCAAAAGTAACTTTTAAAGAGTTGTGGAAGGGTGGGGAGGTCAGCAGGTGAAGGGCAGACAGGCGCTTTGGGCTAGTCCGTCTTTGGGGACCTGCCAAGTGCAGTAGAAATCACAACCTCTCACAGACAACCACGACTCTGGCCAGGGTCCTGACCTGCGTCTGCCAAATTCAAGAGGGTCCTAGAAGGGCACCTGAGCTGAAGGTGAACCTGTCTCCTATTTCGAGTTGAGTGGGACTTGGCACTCAAGGGCTCGTGATGTGGCTTAGTGGTAGAGCATATTCACAGCATGCACAAAGCCTGCTCTCTCTCTCTCTCTCTCTCTCTCTCTCTCTCTCACACACACACACACACACACTTGTGACTAGACTAACCTAGATGTGGTGGCACACCTGTAATTCCAGCACTAGGGAGGTAGAGGCAGGAAAATCAAGAGTTCAAAGTCATTTTCAGCTATGTCTTTGGCCTGCCTGAGTTAGAGACAGATGCGGGTGGGGTTAAAAAAAAAAAAGACACACAAACACACAAGATCTATCAGAACCTTTCTACTGTTGTTTTCAACTCTGGGATCGAGAGGAATAAATAACATGCTACATGGGTTTGTTACTGCTTGCATGAAGCTGTCCTACAGATCGAATGATATATGATATTTTTGTGAGACCGTGAACTTCCCAATGTTGCTGAAGAACTGCCTGCTTTCACACCCCCAACCACAGGCACACAGAGGATCTCCTGGGATGTTGTTTTATGTGTTTTCTTATTAACTACCATTACCCCACTGCGGGCCAATGAAATCAGAACCAATCGAGAGAGTGTGGGCTTTGGTAGCTATGAACAGTCCCGCTGTGCTTCTTAGACACAGCTTAAGGACCACAGGACACACTAACCTGGTCATTGTGTGCATTAGGTCAGTGCCTCCAACTCTTTTCATGTATGACTTCAGAAGCAGAAGGTACCAACCCCGGAATAAGTGGCAGGCTCTTGGCACTAGAGACATCTGACCTGAACTTCCTATCTGGCTTCCTAAGGGCTGAGGATCAATATTCTGGTGGATCCATACCCAGGCACCGAGTTTCACCTGTTGTTGAACTTTGAGTAATTATAAAGTCTGCTAAGTAGAGCTGCGCTGTACACTTCTATTTTTCTGGGGGTTAATTGACATGTCGTAAGCAGCATATAGTTAAAGTGTACAACATACGTTGGGCATATGAACACACTGGCGAAATCATCACTACTGGCAAGATGATGAACGGGCTGGAGCCGTAGCTCAGGGGTAGAGTGCTTGCCCAGCATGCACGGGCCATGGCTGTGAGCTCTGCAGAAAGGGAGTGATGGGGAGAAAAGTAAAAAAAAAAAAAAAAAAAAAAAAGAGAGAGATAATGAGCACATTCGTTGCTCCTCAAAGCTCCCGTGTGGCTCATGGCAATCCTTCCCTTTCCTTCCCCAGATCAGCATCCATCTGTTTTTCCTCACAGTCGCTCAGTTTGCATCTTCAGAAATGTCCTATAAATGCAACGATGCATACTCATACACTTTGTCTGGCAGGCTTTATTCCACAGAGTTAATCTGAGGCTCATCCGTGATTTTACACTTGTCAATAATTCTTTCGTTATCATTGCTAAGTAGCATTCAATCATACATATGTCGATGGATCACTTTTTGTTTTGAGACAGGGTCTTATGCAGCTCAGGCTGGCCTTGAACTGTTTTGTTTTGGTTTTGTGTCTTTCGAGGCAAGGTTTTTCTGTGTAGCCCTGGCTGTCCTGGACCTCACTCTGTAGACCAGGTTGTCCTCCAAAGATCTGCCTGCCTCTGCCTCTGGAGTGCTGGGATTAAAGTCTTCCGTCACCATTGCCTGGCAGTCTCAATGTAGCTAAGATGGACCCTGAGCTTCTGATCTTGCGTGTACCTCCTGAGTGCTGGGATCACAGGCGTGCGTCACCACACCTGGTTTTATGTGTTTCTGGGGTCAAACCCAGGGCTTTGTATACGCTAGATAAGCCCTTTACTATCTGAGCCTCAGTCCCTACCCAGATGTTGCACATTTTCAAAAGAATTATTCACCTGCTGATAGACATTTGGGTCATTTCTAGTTTGGAGATATTATAAGCAAAGCTTCTATGTTTACTACGTGAGGCTTACTATTATTTACTTGCAGCGCTGAATAGCTGATTATTTCTTTGTAATGCTGGGCACCAAACTCAGAACCTGTGCATGCTAGGCAAGCATCCTACCGAGAGTCAGAGCCTCAGCTCTGTATTTAATGACTGCGTCCAAGGCTCTGTAGCTGTGGATAGGTGAGTCGTAGGGAGACATGTGTTTCCCTCTGTCAGAGGCTGCCTAGTTTCCAAGGTGGCCCTGACGTTTTACATTCCTACTAGCTGTGTGTGAGTGAAGGAGAGCTGGCCGCTTTTCTTTGCTAATTTTAACTTTTAGATTTATGTCTTTTTGTTGTATGTATGTATGCCTGTTTTGCCTGGTGTATATATGTGCATATACACCATATATGTGACATATGTGTCTTCTGCCCTTGGAGGACAGAAGAGGACATCGGATTACCTGGAAATGGAGTTACCAATGGTTGTGAACCACCATATGAGTGGTGAGAACTGAACCTGGGTCCTCCCCAAGAGCAGTCAATGCTCTTAACCACTGAGTCATCTCTCCAGCCCCCTTTTCATTAACTTTTGTTTTGAAACATCTCCCACGTCACCCAGACTGGCTACAAGCTCCTGGTTTCTGCCTTTCCCTCCTGAATGCTTGGATTATAACACGTGCCACCATGCTTGATTTAATTTTTCCCGTATGGTACTGGGGATCAAACCTAGGGCTTCGCACCTACTTGGTAAATGTCTGCCACTATGCCTTGTCACTAGAACCCCTCGCCTTCTAATTAGAAGATACTTAATCTTATTATTATTGTGTGCACGTGTAATTGGAATATGTGTGAGTGGGTGTGCTAGGCGTGGAAGTCAGAGGACAACTTTCAGTACTTGGTTCTCGCTTTCCGTGGTGAGTTCTGGTGATCAAACCCAGCTCAGCAGGATTGTGCTGAAAGTGCTTTTATTTCTAAGCCATCTCACTGCCCCCAGCTACCAGTAGTTTTTGAAAAACATTTAGGCCGTGCTGGGAATGGAATCTAGGACTACTGGACAGACACTTTGCCATTGCGTTCCACCCCTAGACAGCTGTCCTCTTTCCCTCAGGAGACCCTGCTTCCCACTTTCACTCTTGGCTGATGAAATGATTCTTTTCATCTTTTGAATGATTCCTGAAAGTTGTCCTCTGATCTTCATGTGTGTCCATGGCATTCATACCCTTCCCTAACAACAAACAAATACTTGTTAAATAAGTCAAGTGCCTCTCTCTTTCCTTGAAGCATTTGTGATGGAAGTAAGGATAGGAATTAGGACCAGAGATGGAGACATGCACGGAATGACGGCTGGATAGAGATACTAAAGTTGTCCTGGTGTCTCTTTCTTTTCTCTGTCTCTCTGTTCTTTGCTTCTGTTGCGGGCACTGAGGAAATGGGTCCTGGCCTAGATGATGTCACCCTGTTGTCACAGTATCAGAGTACTGATAAGTCTTGCTTTGTAACTAAATTACATTTTTACCCCTTGCCTGCAGGTCCCAAGACAACATGTACCAGCCATACAGGCCTGACACTGGCAGGAAGTAGGAGGCTTCATTGTTTCTTGCGCCCGCACCTCATCATGTCTTCCACTCAGGGCAATGGGGAACACTGGAAGTCCCTGGAGTCCGTGGGCATCAGCCGCAAAGAACTGGCTATGGCTGAAGCCCTGCAGATGGAGTACGATGCTCTTTCTCGGCTCCGACATCACAAGGAGGCGAGCAGGGCTAAGCAGAACACAGAGCCCTCTCTTATCAGCTGGGATGAGCCCACTCTGGACTTCTACAGCAAGCCAGCAGGCAGGCGGACAGACCTCAAGCTCTTGCGTGGTCTTTCTGGCTCTGACCCTACCCTGAATTACAACTCCATTGCCCCACAAGAAGAACCCCCCAACTCTACCTCCCAAGATCCCCAGCCTGGCCCAGATCCCTGGCCCAAGGGCTCCCTGCCTGGAGACTATCTCTATATTTTTGATGGCTCAGATGGAAGGCTCTCTTTGTCCTCAGAATCAGGTGACACAGGTGGCTCAGGCAAGAAACTATCCCCACCTCCTCTGCCTCCTCGGGTCTCCATCTGGGATGCCCCTCCCTTGCCTCCCAGAAAGGGGTCCCCCTCACCCTCCAAGATTGCTCAGCCCACTGACATCAACAGTTTTTCTCTGGTGGAACAGCCACCTGACAAACTGTTAGGGCCCCAGGACCCAGAAGAGGAAGAGCTACCTGATGGTGGGGGACAGCGACACGTGCTGGGATCTGTGGACTATGATGGCATTAATGATGCAATCACAAGGCTCAACTTGAAGTCAACGTACGACTCAGAGATGTTGTCGGATGCTACCAGGGGCTGGAAGGAGGGCCGGGGGCCCCTGGACTTCAACAAAGACACCTCTGGAAAACCCGTGGCCCGGAGCAAGACGATGCCCCCTCAGGTGCCGCCCCGAACCTATACTTCCCGATATACCAACCGAAAAAATGCGACACCTGGCAAGAACCGCCGGATTTCTGCTGCTCCGGTGAGGACCTACCTTCCTGTGTGTTCATTCAGAACGTGGACTACGTTCTCTTTGCCATTCCAAATTCAGATCTACCAAGCACTCACAGGCCCATTTACTTCTCTCTTCTACTTCTGCCTTTGGAACCTTTGGGTGCTTGTGGGGGTTGAGAGGGAGCCAAGCTAGACTTTCTTGTTGGGAGGTTGGGCCAAGAACACCAGGAAGGGTCTGACTCCTTTCTTAGGCTAAGTTTCAGTGTCTTGGTCAAAACAGCCCATCTGGGGGCAGGTGTTTTGGTATCCTGGCTGTTACTAGGTACTTCCTTCATGATGTAAGGACTGACTGACTGACTCTGTGGCTGAATGGTGGGGGTGGGACTTGAGCTGCTTCTTACTCCTGCGGCCAATGCTGCATAGCAACTGTACGGCCCTGATGGTCGTCCGTAGTGTTAGCTGTTGGTTCTGTGCTCACAGAATACCCTATCCAGATCTCTACATCAATCCTGTCCAGTGCTCCAAAGTCACACAGCAAGAAATGGCAGAGCTGGTATTAGACCCTGGTCTTGTTTCAAAGAGGGGTCTTTCTCCCTCTCACCTTCCTCGCTGCTTTTGATTGTGACGCAACATTCACCTTCCGCCATTTAAAGGCGTGTAGTTCAGTGGCGTTAAGTACAGTTGCACTATGGGGGTGTTTACTTTTAGTCATTTTCCTCCCCTGAAAATATCTAGAAAAAGGCCCAGCAGTATAATAGTAATGCTTTGGCTTATTAGTATACATTATAAAGTGTAAAGTCTACTCTTCATCCCAGCTGGCTTCTACAGCACCCTTGATAAGGTTTCGGTCCATAGAGTGTCAGGAGTATTGCCGAAGGTGGGACCTGAAGGCCACCTTGCTTTTACCCCTGACTTCTGGACACATTGCTCCATGAGTCAGGAGGCTGCTTCATAGCTGCAGACTTCTGTGGCTGCCTATGCCCCCTCATTCCGCCCTCCTCCCTCCTTACCATTCATTGTCTTAGTGCGCTGGGGCTTTCCCACCTCGTGTCCAGCTTAGGGATTACTTCCAGCTCTGCATAGCTACACAGTCCTTCCTTCCTCTGCGTTTGCAGAGCGAGCCCCTCAAAGCCTAGTCAGGGTGAGCTGCAGCACCAGAGTTCAGGCTTTTTAAAGGCTCATCTCGGAGGTGGGGCTGCTCCTGCTATTTATAGGGATGGGGAGAGTCATGTCCTTAGCTCAGTTCCTCACACAGAGCCCGGCCTGCTCACAGAGGCAGGCAGCCTGGGGTAGGTGGTCACCCCTGTCTTCCCTCCCTCATCATGCATCATCGGAGTACCGACATGGAGCCTGATCTGGTTCGGAGTCTCCTTGAAGAAGCAAGGGCAAAGCAAAAAGCTCTTGCCAGTTCTGGAGTGGGGGAGGCAACGCGGCAGTGGTCCTTCCCACCTCAGGTTGGGGTGAGGGCTCAACCTGCTGGGAGGGGGAGCCCCTTGAGCTCTGTGCCTATACCCCCACCCCGCCTTCGCCGGAAGGATCCTTCTTATCCCAGGCCCACTGAGCCATCTCTGGAAATGGCTGGCTCCAAATGCCAGCCTGATACCCCCGCTACCAGCCTCTGCCTGGCAGACTCCTCAGGCCAGCATCGAGTGATGCCACCAGGGCCTGCCAGCCGGGCAAACGTAAGTGCCTTTTGTTTTCTTACAGTGCCAGGGAGTGGTACAGAAAGGGCATGAAATGGCCTTCAGTGGCCATTCTGTTTTCTCCCTCTCCCTCTCTTGCCTCTTCTTTCTCTCTCTGACTCTCTCGCATAGGTTAATTGCTGACAGTGGTACTATTGTTTGGACTGGGACACAGGCAGACGCTTGGCAAAGCCAGGGCCTCACATGCCAACTGCCCCCACTGCTGCCTTCCCCTTTATGTGCTACCACCCCCACTCTACACACCCCCAGGGGAGCATGACTGACCGGAGGGAGGGACACTTGAGGAAGCAGTCAGAGTATTCAGTGAGGAGCTGGGTTGCTACCTTCTGCCCTGAGGGACAGGGAGTGCATGAGAACAGCTGAGGGGGTGAAGAGAGGTGAGGTGGCACACACAAACCACAGCCCTGGACACCCCCTTTCCTCCCCGATGCAGCTGTTAGAGCCTGCTGTCTTTCCCGGATGCAGCCTGGAACTCCATGGAGCCAAAGTGCCATTCCTGGGTGGCTGCCCCAGGCAGGCCTGTGAGGCTTGTCAGTAGCAGCTTTCTCCTTATCTGTTCCTGTCTGTGGCTCATTGGAGGGCTTCCTGAGTGTTTGAGAGCACCCCTGGGATGGGAAATGGTATGGGACCTGGCTTAAGGATCTCAGCGCCACATGTATGTTCTGGGAGAGGAAATGGGACCAGTCCGAACAGGCTGCCTGGATCCCTAGCTGCTTAGAACCAGCAAAGCCTACAGGAGTCCAGCCAGGTCCTCTCCAGCAAAGATCCTGCTTTGAGACATGTGTCTTCTTTCTGAGAAGGCACATGCGTCTGAATCATACCCACTCCTGAAGGACTCAGTCTTTGAGTCTGGTGTCCGGGGCCTTGGATGTTGAGGCTTTTGTGTAAGTCCAGGCCTCACTGGGGACCATTTGGCTGAACACCTGCCTGGCCTAGTTCAGCTTACCCATATGTCTCTAGAGCCTTCCCCGGAAGACCTTGCCCACTGGTGACCATTAGCACTGTGTTACACACTGCCTGATCGGCCACACTGGACTGGTCAGACATGTCCGCCTTGCAGAGCAGATGTGGCCACTCTTGTCCACTGCCCAGCGTTTATGTGCATCCCAGGCTTTGGCTCCTTTTTCAGTTTAGTCTTTGGTGTCCTAGGTTGGCAGATGATGTACTTCTAGATTCCTTACAACGTTAAGTCAAAAGTCCTTATACACGGACTGTCTTTACATCTGGGAGGCCATGCAAAGAAGGGGTGCTGTGAGAGAAAAAACACTGTCAGTTGCTCTTCCCTTAAAGGTGGGCTCCCGGCCCCACACCATCGCCAATGGCCACGAACTGTTTGAGGTCTCGGAGGAGAGAGACGAGGAAGTTGCTGCGTTTTGCCACATGCTGGATATGTAAGAGTTGAAGGATGGGGTGGGGGAAAGAAGGGGGTGTGTATGTGTGTTCATGTGTGTTCATGTGTGGGTGTACTTGATATGTAAGAGTTGAAGGATGGGGTGGGGGAAAGAAGGGGGTGTGTATGTGTGTATGTGTGTTCATGTGTGGGTGTACTTGATATGTAAGAGTTGAAGGATGGGATGGGGGGGTAGAGGGAGGTGTGTATGGTGTGTACGTGTGCGAGTGAGTGATTGGAGGATTCTGAGTCTCTGGAGGAGGCTACCTGTTCTTTTAGAGGGGAGGAAGCGCTACAATAAATAAAATTCCACAGAGTGGGAACTCTCCTCCAGCAAATGTCTGCAGGTTTTTATGAAACCTTAGAAGTTTGCTAGGTATAGTGGTACACGCCCTTAATCCCCGCACTTGGGAAGCAGAGGCAGGCAGATCTCTATGATCCAGCCTGCACCACGTAACAAGTTCCAGGCCAGCTAAAGCTATGTAGTGAAACTCTGTCTCCAAAGAAAAGAATTAGAATTTTGCACATTTTTAGTAAAATTCAGCCTAACTAATTATCACCTCACTTCAGGTTCTGATACTCAGCTGTCCTTAGGAGTAAACACACCTCTCAGTGAAGAAAAGACTTCTCTTGTACTGAAGAGAGAGGAAATGGATTTCTAACTATTTATTGGTTAAATTCTGTTAAACTTAGTATGGGAAACTCCTCTGGGAGTTCTTGCTACCATTCCAATACTGTGGGGATTGTTTCACAACTGTAGTGAGATGGTAAAAGTACAGCTTCCCAGGGCTGCCTCCCCCCTGCCCCAGCCTGGCCCACGGAGGAGGGGGCGAGCCCAGTAGAGACAGGAAAGCCCTTGTGCCTTAGGGTCAGAGGGGCCCTCATCGGGATTCTTTGAAGACACAGCAAGAGTCCTTCTTTTCTTCCTATACAGCCTTCGGACAGGCTCTGATATCCAGGACTATTCCCTAACTGGATATGTCTGGAGTGCTGTCACCCCGAGTCCAGAGCATCTTGGGGATGAGGTCAACCTGAAGGTGACTGTGTTGTGTGAGAGTCTTCGGGAGCCGCTCACTTTTACCTGCAACTGTAAGTTTGTTGGGGATATATGAGTGTCCCTGGAGGTGAGGTGGGAGAGCTGGGTGTTGACAGAGATTTCTGTCCCACCAGGTCATCACACGGAGATCTACATTAATTATAAACTGATTGCCCTAGTATCTCAGGCTTCTTATTAACTTTTATAACTTATATTAGCCCATTATTCTTGTCTGTGTTAGCCAGGTGGCTTGATACCTTTTGCGGCGATACAGTCACATCTTGTGTCCTCTGTGTCTGGGTGATGACTGCAGACTGACTCTTTCCTGTTCCCAGGATTCTTCTGTTCTCCTTGCCCCGCCTATACTTCCTGCCTGGTTATTGGCCAATCAACATTTATTTAAAATACAAGTAACAGGGTACAAACCATTGTCCCACAGCACCCCCCTCTTTTTTTTTAAACAAGAACTCTGAATCAAATCTCCTTTGTTTAGCTTTTCTCCTGACCATTATCCATAACAACTTGTAACCAACATTCTAAACAAAGAAAAACATCCATAATCCATTTGGAATGCGGGTGTAGTTTTCCAGACTACTTTCTGCCAATTAGGGGCACTGATAATCTTATGGGGACCTAAAGAAAATTTAGAATTATGGTCAAGTCCTGACTGGAATATTCTGTGAGGCTTGATCATCTCAGCCAGCAGTCCTGAAACTGTTCTGGATGCAGAACTCAGAGGAAACTCCAACAGAGGTCCTCTGAAATGTTGGATCAACTGGGCCATCTGCTCCTATTGGAGATTCCTCAGGGTGGTCTTCCTTGATCAAATCTGATTTTTCTTAGCCCAGAATGAATCCACAGTTTCTCATTTCCTGTGGAAACAAAAGCAAAACCTCTTCTCCAAAGTAACATACCTTTTAACTTAAATTTTGAAATCAAGGCATTTTCAAAATATATATGTTGGCTTAATCCAGCAGCATTTATAATCAAATGTCTTTTAGCAGTTTTTAATCCTTCCTTAGCAGTCATACAGTTCAAAGACAACACAATAATATACTGTATCCAGAATCTCTGGATTTTTCATCTTTACGTGGCTTTATTTTAAACTCTATTTCTGTTATTTTTATTTTTAATTTTTGGCTTTTTGAGACAGGATTTCTCTGTGTATCTTTGGCTGTCCTGGAACTCACTCTGAAGACCAGGCTGTCGTTGACATCACAGAGATCTGCCTGCCTCTGCCCCCCAAGGTTTGGGATTAAAGGTGTGTGCTACCACACCCAACTATTCTCTTTTTTTTCTTTTTTCTTTTAAGGACTTTATTCTCTTTTTTTTTTCCCTTTCTCCCAAGCCTACATATATTTTTAAACACACAGTAAACCATTTAGAGGTTTTCTTCATCTTTGACTCTATTGTGTATATCTTTTTCTGACCACATGAGTCTTTAATTTGCTAAGCGATATGACTAGAATTAAAGCCATAGCTTTGACGGTTGGATCCAGCCCATTCCTTAGCCGTTTTCTAGCTTCATGGCAGAGGTACTGGTTGGAGCCATGTTTATTGCACCAACTCTATGGCATTTCAAGGTTCTTGACACCACCAAGAAGCATGCTGTCAGCAATTCATAAACACCATTTAAGTGTTTGGTGGCAGGGCCTCTTAAAAGAGTTGCGAAGTTTCGCAGCTAAAGCTGAGTCAGGAAGCCTCTCTTAAATGAGATGTACTCGCCTCTAGCAAAGAGAGCAAACTCAAGAAATTGCTGCTACCAAGAAGCCATGTTTAACGCTGTTATTTTGTGTCTAGAATTACTTCTCACGCTCTCTCAGGTTTTCTGTGGATGCAGTTGTCCACACATTGGGCACCATTTATTGAAAGAGATTTTTGTCCCACCAGGCCCCACAGCCATTTAGTCCCAAATAAACACACAGAGATCTACATTAATCATAAACTGGTTGGCCTAGTAGCTCAGGCTTCTTAATTAATTCTTACATCTTACATTAACCCATTATTCTTGCCTGTGTTAGCCACGTGGCTTGGTACCTTTTTTGGTGAGGCAGTCGCATCTTGCATCCTCTGTGTCTGGGTGACGACTGCAGACTGAGTCTTTCCTGTTCTCAGAATTCTCCTGTTCTCCTTGCCCCACCTCTACTTCCTGCCTGGTTGCCCCGCCTATACTCCCTGCCTGGCTACTAGCCAATCAGCATTTTATTAAAATGCAATTGACAGGGTACAGACCTTTGTCCCACAAAAACTGGGTTTTGGCCTGGGGAGTCCTTTAGCTTTGATTGTCACCTCACTCACTCTGTAGCCTGAATGAGGGGCAGGGGGCGGGCAGTAACTTTCCCCAACCCCAGGCTGTTTGTTTGTCTGTCTTATCTGGCTATTGGTGGAGACACTACAGATGGAATAGCTGGTGATAAAGGGTCAAAGTTGGGAGGCTCTGCCCGACCTGCCCAATGTCACTGCCCTTGCTCTTCCACCTTGCTGCTTACAGGTTCCTCCACTGTGGACTTGCTCATCTACCAGACCCTCTGCTACACCCATGATGAACTGAGGGAAGTGGACGTGGGTGACTTTGTGCTCAAGCCCTGCGGACTGGAAGAATTCCTGCAAAAGTGAGTGAGTGGATTAAGGGACATGCGACAGAGGTGACACCTGCCTTCTGGCTAGGAGAACGAGGGAGGCTCCTAGACACCTGCACTAGGTTCAGCATTTGCTGCTGCTCTTCCCTAACCCTGCAGCCAGGACTTCTGCTTTCTGGGCACAATCTCAGCCACGTTGCATTTTCCCTCTGAGCTCCATCTTCCAGCTGGGTTGGCTGGAGCCCGAGCCAAATCTGCTGTGGAAAGAGCTTGGAGCTGGGGTTAAGCAAAGATGAGGTCGTATCTGTGTGCAGGCTTCTGGTTGCTGAGAGATGTGTGTTGTTTGTGGAGGGGCAGTGGCAGGTTGCTTTCCTACTCTAGAGGACACACAACTACTGGGCAGAAATACCCTTAGAGAATCAAAGGGAGAAATTACAGTGGCTCTTGCTGGCTTTCCCTTGCCAACATGCCTTTGTTTCCACTGGCCTGTGCAGCTGGTTAGCCTCTTCCTAGGCTGGCTTCCAGCTCCCTCCAGCCAGTGCCCTCTGCAGAAGGCAGCTTCTCTGGAAAGTGTGATGTGGGATCAGCTAAGAGAAGCCCTCTGCACTACCCTGGACTGTGGAAAACTGGGGTGGGGTAGTCAGGGCTCCCACTCCCAGGGGTAGCATGTGGCAGCAAACACCAGGAGATCTGCTTTCCTCCATCCAAGCTCTTGTGTGGCTACTGCACCATCTGTGGCCCCCTTAGAGGGGGAAGCAGAACTTGGGGGGAGAGAAAGACAAGGCCTGTATCCCTCACGTTAGCACTTTCTGTGAACTGTGGAGCTTTGTGGAGCTGTGTATTTTCCCTCCAGATTGATAGGACTCAAGATTCATTTTTTTAAAAAAAATATTCGTTTCTTTTCTTCTTTTTCTTTTTCTTTTTTGTTTTTTGAGACAGGGTTTCTCTGTAGCTTTGGAGCCTGTCCTGGAACTAGCTCTTGTAGACCAGCCTGGCCTCGAACTCACAGAGATCCCCCTGTTTCTGCCTCCCAAGTGCTGGGATGGGATGTGCCACCACCGCCCGGCTAAATATTCATTTCTTAATTGTGATTTCTTCAGCACTGGGGATAGTAGGTCCTCTCTGGCCTCTGCATCCTCATTTAGAAGCTGAGAAAAAAGAAGCAGGCCCACCCTGATACAGTTCCTAGGAACCCTCAACCGTATTCCACATTGTGTTCATTGTGTCCTGGCCTTCCTACATGAACAGGGAGGGGTCCTAGATACAGGGTATCCTGGAAACTCTAGCCCTGTGCAGCTTATCATTGCTCGGAGGGAACAGGACTGTGGTGGGTAAATCAGACATCAGACCCCAGGGAACACTATTTATACTAAATTCTGGTTTTCCACTGACCAGTTGTGAAGCCAGCTTCTCAGTGTCTTCTGTAAAGAGTGGCCATGTTTTAGGTTGGGGGTGTAGTTCACTGGTGGTAGAGGTGAAGCCCTGGGATCCATCTGTGCAGCATACACACACACACACACACACACACACACACATACACACCTGGGTTCCATCTGTGCAGCATACGTGCACACCTGCCCCAC